TCTCCGCTTCAAAACTGAATAAGTCATCTGTTTCCGTATAATTTTTTTATGTTCTTATTTTACATTTTACTTTATCATAGTATTCATTATTTCTGAAAATAAGATTGTTTTCCTGATATCCCATTTATTTTCCATCTTCTTTAGAAATTTCATTTGTTTCCTTGATGAATATTTCTCTACTCTGGCAAGTCAGGCAATTAGATTATTCCTTTGAAAATAATATAAATTTTATTTCTTTTCTTTTAGTTTATCCTTGAAATATATTGGTAGAAAAACAGTCTACCAGATTTTCTGCAACCTCTGCCTTTTTTTTTAACAAAACATGTGCCACTAGAATTGAGAGCACTTTTTAGGGTCATTTGTCTCACCATTGAGCCGTGGCATCACCGTAGAGCACCCCTGGCCTGGGAACAATGGCAAAGAAAGCAAGCTTAGGATTATGAAGTGGGGCCATGACTTGAACGCGTTTGTGATGCTGTTGAACCTGCTGATGAAGTGTTAACATGCTCAATTGGAGGGTTGTGTTCATCGTTCTGTCGGGCATGGGTCTGCAGGAGGCTGGAGTGAATGCGTGGAGACTCTTGTTTTATTAGTTCAGGAAGGGAGGGTGGTGACATGGTCCACGTCCTGTTCTCCTCCCCCTGCAAACTCCATCCCAAAGAAATGTAATCAGGGAATAGGGTTCAATTTGCAGATAACAGAAACCACTCTAGGTATATAAAGAAATAGGGATTGAATACAGGGAAGCAGTGCTCACTGAATCGCAGGAGCAGCTGTAGGCTGGGCCTCCAGAAGGATCCTGGAACAACGCCCTGGAATTGGCCTGCCAGGGAACCGCTGCACGGTTAGGAGCCTGGGAATCAGGAGGTCACTGTTCAACTGCTGGCCTCAAGATCTCACCTTTGCCACCTCCAGACCAAGCCTGGCCCGAGCTCACCAGCAAAATGGATGTGCCACCTACTCCCTGCTTAACGCTCTTCCTAATTCAAGTCCTCCCCCAAATTAGAACTAGGTTGTGCACTGAAAGTTATTTTGGGGTATGTAGCTGATTGGCAGAACCTAAATCACGTTTGAAACCTTAGCTGTAAGGGAGTCCGGAAGTATATTTTTAGCCTTCCAGCCCATGTTACAGGAACACACACCAGAAGGATGACGAGTGGACTGCTACCACGAATGTCCCCGTAAATCCGGTTGTCCTAGTGGAGATGGAGTGTGGGGGATGGGTACAGGCCGTGTTTGAAAAGGAGAATCCTCCGGAATTGGTGACTGAGTTGATGTGGGGCATGTGAGAAGAGGGAGGTGGCAGGATAATGTCACAGACAAAACCTATTACATTAAGTCCTGGTCTTGCATGTTTTAGATTTTTTTAAGTCCCTCAGCCTTTGCTTAGTGAGGTGACCAACTGCCATATCTCATCCACAGCGAAGCAAACAAATTTCGAGAGCGAGGTTCTCTCACAGCTTCCTCATACTTGTGAAATTCTTTTGGAGATAATACTGTGTCTGAACATATTTTATTTTCCCAGTACATTTTTTTCAATACCAGAAGTAGAAGTCAAACAAGGGATTTCCCCAGCCCCACCCCACCCAGTTTAGAGAATGTGCCTCGAGGGTGGGCCACAGGCTTTTGAGGGTGTTGTTACAGGCAGATCCCCAGTCATGAGGAATTGTATCTAGAGGAGCCTGCTGGGACCTGGAGTCAGTTTGCTTGTTGACTCGGAGCTGCCGTCTACTCCTGTGCCCAATTGAGGGGTTAAGGCACAGGTGGTTGCCTTGTCCTGGATTCCCTGGCCTCCTCCCCCAGGCTGAGAACAGCAGTGCCAGCAGGCACTTCTAGCCGGGCTCCCTTTCCTTGCTGGCTGTGGGAGTGGTCTCTCTCACTCAACTGTTGTCATTTTCCACTCCAGCGTTGTTAATTGATAGATGTTGCGTTGAGGTGGGCATCTTATTAGGTAGCAACTAAATAGGGTCATGGCTGCCCAAGGCTGGGCAGAGTTCCTGTTCAGATGGCTGAGCTCACAATAGTGTTGGCAATTTCCCCTACCTCTCTGAATGCTTTTATTAAAGCCTCTTTTGTCTCCTGGCCATCTAATATAAGCATAATGTGCTTCTTTGCATCACTTACCCTCAAATAAACTCATCAATGGGAAGTCTGGGTAGAGATAGGAGTGAAGGATTCTCTGCCATAGAGTCAGCAGCTGGTGCCCTCCTCCTCGGCAGCAACCTGGGACCGGGTGTGCCCTTATCTTGCTAAGAATGTGCCAGGCTGAGGTGCAGGAAGATGTGATGTGATGGGAGTGGTACTGTTGACAGGTGTCGTAAGGACCGCCTCTCCCAGATCAGCCAGGTGTGCCTACAGATGTAGCTCTTACTCTTGGAATCGATTACTTTGTGAGTAGGGTCCTGTGCTGGGCAGGAGGAGAGAAAATGTCTCAGAAATGGCCTCAAAATGTATCAGTCTGGCCAGGGAAACAGAACATGCGTATACACACTGTTAGTGATGATGCTGCAACTCACATCATAAGGCGGAGCCTGCATTTCTGAAGTTAGAGGTAGGCTGTACCTTGAACGGTATTCATTATTTATTTATTTATTTTATTTATTTATTTTTTTGTGAGGAAGATCAGCCCTGAGCTAACATCCATGCTAATCCTCCTCTTTTTGCTGAGGAAGACCGGCTCTGAGCTAACATCTATTGCCAATCCTCCTCCTTTTTTTTCCCCCACAGCACCAGTAGATAGTTGTATGTCATAGTTGCACATCCTTCTAGTTGCTGTATGTGGGACACGGCCTCAGCATGGCCGGAGAAGCGGTGCGTTGGTAGGCGCCCGGGATCCGAACCCGGGCCGCCAGGAGCGGAGCGTGTGCACTTAACCGCTAAGCCACGGGGCTGGCCCGAACGGTATTCATTATTAAAAGTACATTTTCTCCTAGAGACAAAATATATGTGAATGTTGGTTTTCCAGGCTTGCCTCCAAAAGCCCCCTTAACTCACAGTCTGGTTTTTCACTCCTGCGTTTGCAGTACAGACCCATAGCCAGTACTGTTGTGAAGGTTTACCGCCACATCCAGCTTCCCCCTGCTCCCAGGGGTGGATGGTTTGAACCCCAGCCCAGGACTGGGAAGCTCATTCGTCGTCTTCAAAATGGTGGACCAGGGCAGGCCAGTGCGTCTCAGACTTGAGCAAGCATCAGAATCACCTGGGGGCTTGTTAAACTACGTTGCTGTGCTTCATTCCAGTGGTCTAGGGTGGGGCCCTAGAATGTACATTTCTTACACGTTCCCAGGTGATGCTGATGCTCCGGGTCCTTGGAGCACATTTTGAGGACCCCTGGAGTAGACATAGGAGGCAGTTAACCTTCTAAAGAACTGCTGTATCTGAATTCTTAATAAGGTTCTGTGCAACCAGCAGTGCCCCCTCCCCAAACACGTGAATAAACCTGGACAGCAGCTCTCAGACCATCGCGTGTCGACAAGGCCTGTGTGGTTTCAGCTTGCGTTCTCTCTCTTCCTGAGCCTGGCATTGGACGTCACTCTGGAAGCAGATGGGGTAGAGGAGTAAATCACTCTTCCCAGGTGTCTGGAAAGTCAAATGTACTTTGGGGGCATCAGCGAGCAAGTATGTGTCCCAAGGGGCCCAGGGAACAATGTGACAGTCAGCTGCCTTCCTGCTTTGTCTCAGCCAGGTGCCTTGCTCTGCAACGGCTGGTACAGAAACTTGGCTTTTCCCAAAGCCCACTGAAGCCGAGACCCACAGCTAAGGACTCCTGGGGGGCTCCATCAGGCTTTCCGGAAGTTTGGAAATGGGGCAGGACCTGAGCTTACAATGCCCTTTAGGGATCCTCTACCTTATACTCTGGGTCTCAAGATGGACAGACAAGGGGGAGATATCGAAGAAGACAGAGCTCAGATCAGGTCTCAGCACTGCCCCGCCATGCCCTAGTCCTGTTTCTGCTTGCAGAACTCCTCCTGTGCTGACATTGCCAGCTCCCCTCCCTCACCGTGCTCCGGCCTCTTTCCCACTCCCGCCTCTCCATCTCAACTGACCCAGGTTAAAGCCCAGAACTGAGAGCTCCAGCCTCTTCTTTCCACCAGAAGGAGGCAGCTGAGGGGGGGATGGGGGCTGCAGTCTTCCCAGAGGCACCACAGAGACCCCATGTGGCTGCCTCTCGGGCCACACGTCACCTGTTGTGGGCTGAGTGCCCTGTGCTCACATGTACTCCTCTTGGACCCACATCACAGGAGGGAGCAAATAGAGGTTTCTCTCCTGCGTCTGCAGAAGGAGAAAAGAAAAGTTGTAGGGTTATTTAACTTTTTTTGTTAAATAATAAAACTTAGTTGTAAAAATAGTCTAAAGGTTATATTCACTAATTGGCTTTCTCTCCAAGTGGAGCAGATAGCTTTAGAGTGGAATGTGCAAAAACACAAGGGTCATTTACAAGGAAAAAATAAGAATGTTTAAAGTTGATACTTCAACATGTACTATTAACCCTCTTTATTTTTAAGACTACCTCCGAAGTTGGGGGAGTTTTTTGGGATAGAAACCCACAAGCTGCTTTTAATTTCCTCCTGTCATTATGATACCCCATGCAAAAGGCTGGCAGGGCCGCCCTGTCTCCGGGCGGTGTGACAGCCCTGTGGTGAGAAGCTTGCCGGGAATGTAGAATGCCACGCTCCTCGACTGCTTCCTCTCCCAGGGTCACCTTCCCTGTGGCAGCTGGGACAGCAGGAGCACACGTCCCCAGATTTTGTGGGGGTACTCCCTGCAAACTTTTATAACCTGTCCTGGACTAAAACATTACACTGCCTTCTGTGGGCAAATTGTATTTCTCATTGTTGGGTTTTCAAAAACATTGAAGAGACTCTTAATTGTATGCATGACATGGCGCTGCTAACAGTGTCACCATCCTTGCCGCAGATACTGTATTGCCCTTGTAATTGACTACAACTGGCATCTGTGTATGTTTCTCTCTGATTTATTTTCTATTTGCCCCTCTCTAGTGGGATCTTGTGTGTGATAATGCCTGGAAGGTCCATATCGCTAAGTTCTCCTTACTGGTTGGATTAATCTTTGGCTACCTAATAACTGGATGCATTGCTGACTGGTGAGTACCAACGTGCCCGCCCCACAAACCTTTGGAAGCCACAGCAAGCCTTTGCTGGCTAAAGAGGAGTGGTCAGTGTTAGCTTACTGTTACTGAGTCTTTTCTCTGCCCTGGTGTTGGTGCCAGAGCAGAAGGCTGAAGCCATCACCTCAATTCAGAGCTAAAAGGATTGGCCAGTGCACATAACAGACTTTCGAAGTGACAACTTAAATGCATTGCAATTCTCTGGCTGCTAGAATCTAGCAAAACCAGCCTGCAGCCTCTCCTACTGACAGTCAGTGTTTAGTTGGGAAGAGCCTGAAGATCTAGATTCGGGGCTGGGCCCTGAGGGGGTGGATGTACAAGACTCGTCAAAAAATGGAGAGAGGAGAGGAGGAGCTAGAGACGCCTCCCCCGCGGGAGCTGAACGGGCGGGGCCATGCTGACTAGCGCCTCAAATGCCACACAGATTTTAGAGAGGGATGGTCCTTCTAGTTGGCATGGGCAGGAGATGCCTCTGCAGGGTCCATGGGGAGCTGGACTTTGAAAAGTGGACAGCATTTGGATAACGATGGGCACTGCAGGCAGAGGAAGAGCAGTGACAAGAGTTGAGAATGAATGTGCTTGATCTGGGTAGGTGAGGAGGTCCAAGTGCCTGGAGCAAAGTGTGTGGTTCAGGATGGAGTGATGAGGTTGGTGGCGGGAGAGGGGGAGGGGCAGATGGTAGTGGAGATGGTTACAATAGTAACAGTGACAAGAGGGGCAGCCAACACTTGTGGACTGATTACTGTTGCAGGCACTGTGCTCAAGATTTGCAGACAGTAAATATCCCACCCTCACAGCATCCTGCTAGATAGGTGCCACTACCACGTCTGCTTTGTAGTGGAAAAACGGAAGCACAGAAGTCTTAAGTCAAATCCCCAGGGTCACCCAGCTTTTAAGTCAGGGAGCCAGGATTTGAAACGAAGCCTTGTGGCTCTGGAGCCTGCTCTTCACCAGGTGCTATGACACTTATTTAAGGCATTCTGTGGTCACAAGGGCAGCAGCAATGACATCTCTGGGCACGGGGGCAATTGCCCAATGTTGACGGGCTTTTCAGGTATTAGGACTGCCCAGGGAAAGAGGCGTGGGCTACCTCTTCCCCCCTTGACATCCTGTTACCTTTAAAGGAACTTGATGTGAATAAGGACATCTTGGAGTGATACCGAGCAAACCCCGTACGCCTGTGGCTTCCTCTGTGCTGCTCTCTGTCCCCTGGTCAGCTGAGAAAGTTGGATGAGGTGCTCCAGCAAAGGCCTGGGGGGACGGAGCAGCGGGTGGAGCCCAGAGGGGTTCCAAGACCACTTTCAAGTTCTGAAAATTTCTTTCCAGAAGCTAGCTCTATTTGGGATTTCCTTGCATTAACATGTAGTCTGTATTCCTGTGTGTTTAGAATTTGTTTAATCATCATTTGTAGATGTTCTTAGGGACGCATTCCCTGGGGACAGTATCAGAGAAGCTGTCAACAGCCTCTGGAAACCTATGCCAGGGCCCCCTTGGGGATTTTTTTTATTTTGGGCAGGGGAGTGTAGGTTTTTCTCTTTTAAGCAGATACTTGAGCTTAAAGGTTTTCAGAGTGAGCTATACTGACCTAAAAGATACTCTAATCCCAATATTTTAACCACAGGACTTTGTTTCCCAGAAATCTGCATTGAAATAGTTAGAAAGATATACTAATATAATCCGTGTCACTTCTTTCTAAAAAAATGCATTTTTGACTGAGGTTTTAGTGTCCTTATTCAGTGATTTAATGGGGAAAGTAAATATGGACTTCTATTAATAGATCAGTCTATAACGGTTCAAATTGTTTAGAGGTTTTGTGATTTCTTACTTCTTGCACATACATGCTGTTTGTCCTCCCTGATCACACACCAGGCCGTGGACAAAGACAGAAGAGTTTGAGATCTTCCTTCGAGAGTAGCCAGAGTCTGACGTTGCACAGCCGCTTCCCTCAGGCAGGTCCGCCATTCCTTTGTCCCAGGTCCATGGTAGACGGGCATGGGTGCCGGAGGGGCAGCGCAGGCTGCTTTGTGCTGTGGGTTTTTGCACATTTTGAGTGGGCCTCAGTTCCAGTTTGAAAGTCCGGTGTTTTCCCACCTTTTATTTACTTATTTTTGGCATTTTACTTCCTGTTAGAAGCTTGCTTAGAAGGACATTAGAGGGAACTCAGAGATCACAGCTGTGGCACCTGTGGCATGGCCTCGTAGGCAAGTTGATCAAGTCATAGGTTACGCTTTCTGAGACTGCAGTCAGCATATAATAAAACTAAGGAGTACACTTTTTTCTTTAAAAAGTTACTGTTTTCCACACGTATTTTGTTTGGGGAGGTACATTATGTATCATCATGTAACGCGTCAGTTTAGATGAATGAGAGGGAACTGCGTCAGTGCTCGCCCATGACCTCCCTCCTCTCCGTGGTGGTTCTTTTGCTGGATGTTCTGCATTTCTCGCTCCAGGAGCCCTCTGCACCCTTCTCCGGCTGCCCTGGGAGGCTGGCCTTTACGGGCTGCACCAGAAGGCCCCTTGCCCTTTGGCTCCTGGTGAGCCTGGCCAGTGGGGAGGGAGCACCAGGTGGAGAGTGAGGGGAGAGGAGAGTGAGGTGGGGACTTTAGTCCCCAGCTTGGTGTCTGCAGGGCTGCCAAGGGCTGGCTGCCTCGCGCCAGGGGCGCCTCCACACAGCGCCTCTCTCTGGGTTCTGTGACCACCCTTTCCCCCAAGTCCCCTGCTGTTAATAGCCCCAAGCTTTCTCCCACAGCTTGCCCACCCTTTTGCAAATAATCACTTTATTAAAATCTCCTCAAATTACTTCATTTGGGTGGGATATCTGTTTCCTGTTGAGATCCTGTGTTATTTCTCTATGGCTGCTTTAACAAATGACCACACAGTTGGTAACTTACACAAAGTCATTAGCCTACAGTCGTGTAGCTCACGCTAGGCTAAAATCAAGGTGCCGGCAGGGTCTAATTACTTTCTGGAGGCTCTAGGAGAGAATCTGTTTCCTTGTTTTTCCGACTTCTAGAGGCTGCCTGCATTTCTTGGCTCAGGGCCCCTCTTCCAGCTTCAAAGCCCGCAGTGGTGGGTCAGGTCCTACTCATGCTGCCGTCTCTCTGGTTCCCTGCAGCCAGCAGATGTTGTCATGTACTTAGGTTGGACCCACGTGGGTAATCACCTCATCTCAAGGTCCTTAACCTTAACCACATCTGCAGTGCCCCCTTTGCCATGAAAGGTAACATAGTCACAGGTTCTGAGGATTAGGACATTGACATCCTTGAGGGCCGTTATTCTGCCGAGCACGGAACCTGACTGAGGAAGCCCCTGCATCACAGAGTGAGGAGGGTGATTTTATCAGTCATCTCTGAGGGGCTTCTGCTCTAGGGGAGCCGTTCACACGAAACCAACTGACATTTGTGAACGCTGGCTAAATCACTTGCCCACATCTACACCCGACAACAACCCCATCAGTTCGGCATTAACCGGCTCTTCCGAAAGAAAACACGAGGCGTGTTGGAACAAGGTTGGCCTTTCTCGAGATCACGTAGTTCCTACGTGGTGAGCCTGGATTCAAGACTTCAGTGCTCTGAGTTTGAAGAACATGTTTGCCCCACAGTTCCTACTAATAGTGTTTACTTACTGATTTTAGCAATCATTTGGGAGGGAGAGATTTAGAATAGTTTCTACAAGTTAAAGAAAAATCAAGGATATTTTCTGAAGTATCAGAACAGGGCAAACCATGTTTGGATATTGGGGTGTGGGCATGCAGGAAGGAATCACAGGAGCTGAAACATTTAACTCTTTGCTTTGGGCCAGGCATCGTGCTTATCCATCACTGCTCTTAATGATCTCAGTAGTGCTGTGAAGTAGGATGGTTGTCCCCATTTTACAGACAAGGGAAGGAAAAGGAAATAAAAATGGATGTTAGATTTTGTTTATTTTCCTTCATTTTAGGAGACCAACTAAGCCGCATTTTAAATTTATTCCTGTAAGTGAGTTGGGTTTGGACAAAATTACCTATAGAGTCTTCCCTGATAAGGGCTTCATGACCCAGCACCGGTCAAGGGAAGTAATGGCTAAAATCTCTGACAAGGGACCAGCCCCGTGGTGTAGCAGTTAAGTGCATGCGCTCCGCCGCTGGCAGCCCGGGTTCGGATCCCAGGCGCGCACCGACGCACCGCTTGTCAGGCCATGCTGTGGCGGCGTCCCACATAAAGTGGAGGAAGATTGGCATGGATGTTAGCTCAAGGCCAGTCTTCCTCAGCAAAAAGAGGAGGATTGGCAGGGATGTTAGCTCAGGGCTGATCTTCCTCACACATACACACACAAAAATTCTCTGACAAGATAATTGAGCTCATCATAGCCGTGGCCTCGTTTCACTAAACCAGAGTGACTATGGAGGTGGTTAGAAGCCTAAGAAATTCTGAAAGCAATTGTGACCTGTATTTCCCTCCCCCAGATTTTCTTGAAATTACATTCCTCTCCTTCCAAAGGGCAAGGCCATGTGTTACTGAGTATTGCTTTTTTTTTTTTAACAGCTTTATTGAGAGATAATTTAGATACCATAAAACTCACCCATTTTTAAGTGCACAATTCAGTGAGTTTTAGTATATTTACAGAGTTATGTAACCATCACCACATTCTAAGTTTAAAACATTTCCATCACCCTAAAAGGAAATCTTGTATCCACTTACAGTCATAGCCCATTCTCATCCCCAGCCCTAGGGAACCATAAATCTACTTTGTTTCTTTCTATTTGCCTTTTCTGGACATTTTGCTTTTAGGTAGATGCCGTGTCATAAGTACATCTAGGTGAATTCAAGCCATTCAGCTACACTTCAGGTGTTTAGGGTACTAGGCGTGGATTTTTTTCCCTTGGCAAATAGTCTGCTGCTCCAATTTATCTGTGAGCTGTCCTTCTAGTTCAAGCTGGTTGTGTTATATTAATTTGTGTGATGGGGAGATTTGTTTTGTTTTGTTTTTCCTGATGAGTTGATGAGGGAAAAGATGGAAGGTTAACAGGGGAGGGATGGAAAACTAGTGACTTACCATTCCCATGGACCATCCCTACTACCCTCCCAGCCACACCTTGAAGCACATCGCCCCCTAGTGGTCGCCGATTTCACACCGGCCAGCTTTGCAATCCGCCAATTTAGCGTGCGCGCTGCCCTGTCCGGAAACACAGTGGACTGGGCTTCCTCCAGCCCCTTGCTGCCTGCCAGGCTTCACTTTCAGGTCCACACCCATTATTTAAAGTTCAAGCTATCTTACTTTAGTCTGTGATCCCTTAAAAATTACTTCCCATCATGTAGTTGAAACAAATGGGCAGCCAGCTCGGCCCTGGCTCTGATAGGCTGCGTGTGAGGTCATGTCCCTGACTAGTTAACAGCCAAAAGAATGGAAATGAAGCTGCTTTGCTTGGTGTCTGTGTTGATTTGGAGCCAATTCCAAAGGTCAGCGATTTCCCGAGACATTTTATGCTGGGCATGTCAAGGTTTGTGTGTGGGGAATTATTATTGATTTTGTTGCTCTTGCCTTGAATTATCCCCCTAAATGCTCAGAAATAGACTTACCAACAGGATTTGGGTTCCTATCTCAATTCTACTGTGCAATAGCTGTTTGATCTATGCTCCCTTATGTACAAAACAGGGCAGTTGGGCAAAATTTCCCCTGAGGGCCTCTCTACCCCAAGACCTACCAAAGTGGGTCTAGATAGTATGAAGACTTTGAATCCAGTACTCATGCAGCATCTACTGAGCACCTGCTGTGTACTGGCTTTCAGCGTCTAGCATCACAGCCCTGTGTAACGATGATGATTCCTAACATTTTCCCTCTCCGTATGCAGGGTCGGCCGGCGGCCTGTGCTGCTGTTCTCCATCATCTTCATTCTGATCTTTGGACTGACCGTGGCACTGTCAGTGAATGTGACAATGTTCAGCACACTCAGGTTCTTTGAAGGATTTTGCCTGGCCGGGATAATTCTCACCTTGTATGCATTACGTAAGTAGGAGCCTTCACAACTAGTCTTGAAGAAATTAGCAAAAGTATTGCTGCTGCCAGTGAGGTTCTAGGAAGGGTGCTCTGCATGGTGCTGGTTTGGGATGGCAGTCTGGCAGCACAAACTTGAATGGCCTCAACTGTTGTGAAAAAGCTTTCTCAGGATATCATCTAACACTTGCTCTATCCTGATCTCCAGCGTGGGCTCAGGACACATCAGAGAACGTGGAGGGCTGCATAATTGCTTGGAGGAGAGATCAGCCCACAGCTGATATGGAGGGGCTTTAACTTTCCTCCAGAATTTTCTGTGTTGATGTTCTGTGCACTTCCAAATCCAGTACTTAATTGGGCATCCCTGTACTTGGTTGCAGAAGAACATACCAAGTACCTGCCACTGTGTGGTCTGGGCTCAGCATTTTGATTGACTCTATAAAAGTTTTTCTTATTTTTTTTTTCCTAAGGCTATGCAGAGTCCAAATTTTCCACAGTCTCCTGTCCCTAGGTGTGGCCTTACGTGGTCTGGACTTGAACCCTAAGCACTGGTCCTAGAAGACTGAATGGCAATATTTGTCAGTATTTGCTCTTTTTGGGGTAAAGAAGAGTTTCCTCCATTGATCCATCACGTTGCTGGCCATATTAACTCCCCTGTCCAGCAAGATTATGTGTCACTTCTTTGTCCTTGGTGTTGCTAGAGCACAACCCCAAACCCATAAGGAGGAGGAAAGTTTTAGGCATGAATGTTTTACTTATTCTCTAGTTTTATTAATCACTGTGTGGGAAGAACTGTTAGGAATAATGTAAGATGATTTATAATATGTTTTGTCTTTTTCTTTCTCTTGGACAACGTGGGTAAGTGTTGGTTATAGAGTAAGTAGCCATTTCCAGTGGGATCAAATAAGAATAGCTCTGATCCTCTTAAGTTTGTGTATTAAAGACTTGATAACACTTATAGTAATCTGAATTTTTGTTCCCCTATTGCAGACAATAGATATATAATCAATTTATAACATAGTTTTATAGTCACAAAGAAGAAATGGGCAAAGAGAGAGGCTACAGATGTATCTTCTAAATCCAGTCAGTATCTTGGGCGGTTCTTTAGGAAAATATGTATTCAAGGTCAGTGGGTCTAGGTGATGGCTGTTTGAAGGTTTTCTTTCTTTGAACAAACAACATGAGGATTGGGCTTGAAGGTCTCCAGACCAAATGCCTGTGCCGTTCTCGGGCCCTGCCCCCCTGTTGGCCTGTGCAGAGGAGCAGGTTCCACTCTCTGTTCTTGGCCCTGCTCTCAGGCACTTTCTTGCCCCCCATATGAGCACGCGTGATGGGGTCTTCTCTTCAGGCAGCTGTCCTTGCGAGACTCCTGGTTGTCACAGAAGGATGTCAATGCAGTGCTTCCTCATGGACGGCCATTAAAGGGAGTGGCTCTGCGCATTGACAAAATAGAATAGCTACGCTTCAGGAACTTAGCAGAGAGTCTAACCTCAATCTCACCACTCGAGTACTGATCAAACTCAGTGGAGATGTTAATGGAAAATTGCTTTAAAGCAACGATGACAGACATATTGGTTTTATCTTGCATGCCAACTGCTAATGATTGGTCGAGGCTGCCAGAGAACTCAGAGAAGACTTTGGAGGACACTTCGGGGCTCAGCAGGAGAGAACATCTTGATCCATTAGCCATGTCTGCCTGTGATAAGGAAGGAGGGGAGGAGAGGGCTGCATGTAGCTGGCACTTGCCATCTCTACAGATGCTCCCTGAATTAAGCCAGGCCAGGAGAGAATTTCCCCTGAACTGCATCGTTTCAGCCTCACATGGAATCGTTTTACTGACTTGTGCTATGATATCATGCTGTTGGCCCTATGAAGCCTGTTGTTGTACTTACTATAAAAAATGATGCTAGGGATGTTTTTTCATGAGATTACATAGTGAGCTCCTTATAGTAGAAAGTTCTCTTCTATTTCAGAACCAAACAAAGAATGTGCTTGTCCTAGGAAACGGCTTTGCTTTTATCTCATAGGTACAGAGTCATGTAACCCAGGCCTCTGCAAACTTTTTTCTGTAAAGGGCCAGGTAGTAAATATTTTAGGCTTCGCAGGTCTCTGTCACTCAACTCTGCCATTGTACCGTGAAAGCAGCCATAAATAATATGTAAATGATTAGATGTGGCTGTGTTCCAATAAAACTTTATTTACAGAAACAGATGGTGGGCCGGATTTGACCAGTGGGCCACTGATGTAAGTGCTTCTCTCTCTTTTCATTGACCACTCGGAAGCTTAGAACACATAGAATCTGATCTAGCATGCGTGTGGGCCTGACAAGCTGAGCTTGAAATTCCAGCCCCTATCCCAGTTTCATCTGAACTTTCCTACTTTAATTTCTCTTTTGTTCCATTTTCCTATCTCCATAATTTAAGTATTTTATTTCATGTATTTGTGTAAGCAGCCTTAAATTTTTTCTGAAATAAAGCAGGGCATAAATAAATGCTTATGTTTTCTTAAATTAGAATTACAAGTCAAACATCATGACAAATACCATTGCAATGAAAATTTCCAGGTATCAACCAGTGGCCCACTGTCTGAGCTAACACAATATTTGGTATAGCAAAATTGAAATAAAGCAAAAGGATGTAAATGATTACTTGGAGTACATTGAGATAATGTTTAAACAATGTAAATAAGGGGGTGTTGATTGAGAGATGGCAGAGGAGCTAAGCCTGGCAAGGGAGAATCAAAAAAGGAAATAAAATTGTGATGAGCAGATGGGATTGGGGTAGGATATGGTGTGTGCTGGGCTGGGGTGGCCCATCTCTCTGGCAATCCCGGGAGAAGACAGAGGCTGGTGACGACAAGATGAGAGACAAGCTCCCAATCAATAGGGCGAGGCGACTCTGAATTTCCAAATTAGTGTGCTTGCTGGCGTTTTATACACGAGTAGTATATGTGCTTAGTTAACACTTGGGGATTTGTTCTGTTCACAGGAAGTTTTTGAGAACTAGGGTCACAGGGTTGAAGTATTTCTTTACTCTAAAGAAAAGTTTAAAACTTTTGGGCATTGATTATTTGGAAGATACATTTTTAATGGTCCTGACATTTTCTCCCCCTTCAACTGTAAGGTTTTTATCTCACTTAATGCATTTGCTGGAAAGACCTGTACTTTCTCAGAAGAGAACTGGATATCGTTCTGTTTTAAGTCTTGCAGGTGCTTGACAATGTAAATAGGAAAGTAATGATTTTTGCAGATTTTGTTTCTTCTGTAGTCTGCCTGGAGAGTGGACTCTTAGTTTTGAGAAATGCTGCTGACTTGGGAAAGTTTTCTGCTTTATGTGCAAGGGTGCTTCAGGTTTTCTTCTTTGGAATTTTTCTATGGCACTGTCTAGTTAAATGCTCTCCTCTCTAAATGTTTCTTTTTTCTTCAAGTCACCAAGGGGAGACACGGTTGTGTAATTAGGACGTAAAATAGAGATTATTGCCATCTTCCCCAGGAGTCTTTACACGGAAGCAGAGTGCACGTTGGTGAGAGTAAGAGAACAAGCGAAGCTGAATGGGCGTGTGTAGGGCTGCGCCATGGTTCCTGCCGCCTCTGTGCGTCACGAGACGCTGAGATAGTTAAATACGCTTGGGCCACAGCAGTGGCTTAATTGTACCCCTTTACCTCTGGACAAAAGAAAGACAAAGTTAGGAGCAGGGAACCACAGACCAAGAAAAGAAGCGGTCAGTCACATTTCCTTATTTGTTTATGAAAATAAAGTCTTATCAAAGACTGAAGAAATAGTCAATATAGGCAGATGTGATTTGTTGTGGTATGAATTCTTTTTCCAACTAGGATTCATAACATCACAGAAAGGAAATACAGCATTGTTTAAGATGTGTCTTTTTTCACAAGAAGCCAATGAGAGATCGTTGCTTTTAAGTTGATTTGATGTTGGATGTATTAAGTCTCATGGGAGAGAAATTTTTTTTTAATATAAATGCTTTCTTTAGTTTCTCTCCTCATTTGATCTCTGCCTTCCCCCTCACTCCCTGTAACAACCTCCTCAACCCCAATTTGAAATAATGAACAATACTTTTTGCTGGCAGAGACTATCCCTTAGTTACTGTGCATGAGTGAACATCACTTTTTCGTTTATTTGTTTTTCGGCCTGACAACAATGAACAATTTTCTTGAAAAATTCTCTCAAAGCTTCGTGTTCTCATTATAACTCTCCTTAAACCCAGGCAACCTAAATAAATGGATGAATTTTACATGTAATCAAGGAGTGACCAGAAATTTCAAAAGTGACTAAGTTACTAATTACTTTGCAAAATTAGAAGCCAAGTCTTAACTGGTAAATAGACTCAGAAAAATCTGAGTTTGCTCTGGGTGGGGTGATGTTCTCTCTCACGTGGCACTGATGGTTTTAGACTCTCAGTGAAGTGCTTGAGTAATTTCTGATGTGCTGGCATAGGGTGACTTTTTCTTCTTCACTGTTGCAGATATTTCTATAATTTGATGTTTTTCTGAACTAATACTCCTTGGAACATATTTTAGTCAACAGGGTTTTTAAGCATCAAAGCTGCGCTGTACCTTAAAAAAAAAAAAATCGGCTGAACCAGACGGCTCCATGTAATGAGTTGTTGAGCTGTGGAATGAGTAAAATGGAGGTTGCTGAGCTGTGGAATGAACAGAGTGGAGGTTGCCCTGCTAAGTATCACTGACTTCACCTGTCTTTTGGTTCGCTTCTTCTGGGGAGCAAATATTTGCACTGCATTTGGGCAAGGGAGAGTTTCACCTGAATGCTTGCTGGGTCATCAGTCCGGCTTTCTCTCCCCCACCCTCCCTATTTTCAGACAGGTGGGCCTTCCCAGTCGCAGCAAGCCCTCAGAGCCATAACCCCGTTCTTCTGGTGGGACCGGCTCTACTGACTAGGCTTTTTCCATGAAGGAAATGAGTCAGAGTTTACCAAAAGCCTTTGACAAATGATTTTATTTTTTAACAAACCTTCAGAAGAATTTTGGTTTCATCC